ATTTATATCTATTAGATTCAATTATCTATGAATTGATTGAATTAGATTAATATTATATTTTTCCGGGTAATAATCCAAAGCCTAGCACATATTGTCTGCTTTGGCACGTTACATATCTCCGTTAGCCTCACCATTTTAAAACACGCCTACTTCAGAGAGGTTTTCACACCTCTGTAAGGAATGCTTTGTTCCCCTTTCCAACTGATGTGGGATCTCACAATCCACCTCTCTTGAAGGCCTAACGTCCTCGCTGGCACCCCTCCTGGTGTCTAGCTCTGATACCATTTGTAATAACTCAAGCCCACCGCTAGCAAATATTGTCCGTTTTGGCCCGTTACATATCTCTGTAGCCTCACGATTTTAAAACACATCTACTAGGGAGAAGTTTCCGCACCTTTATAAGAAATGTTTTGTTCCGTTCTCCAACCAACGTGGGATCTCAAATCCACCTTATTTTACAAAATAATCTTTCAACTATGCATTCATTGAATTAGATTAATAGGCACATTAATTTATTCTTGAGTTCTTAAATTTTGGAATAAGAGTATATATTCTCTAATCAATCAAAGAAAAGAGTGACATTAATTTATTCCAAATTGCCTATTTATAACCATTCATTAACTTAACCAACTAACCAAGCCTGAATTCAGAAGGAAGAAAGCAAAAATTATGTCTGAGGATGGAAATTCAGGTATGCCCAACTGCCCATAATACACACTCTTCTTTTCAATAAATTTTTTGGTTAAGTTTTTAAATGCCTCATTTGCTTAGGAAAGAGGTCTTGGCCTGAGCTGGTGGGCGAAGATGGGAATAAGGCTGTAAAGATCATAGAGGAAGAGAATCCGAATGTGGTCGTAGTCTTACAAGCTGGGCCAGAGATCATATCCAAACCATTATATGGTCCCGATGGCAGTATCATAGGCTACCAAGCAGTCTCAGGCCGCCCGCCATACGCAGTTCCTCCCGGCCTCGCTGTTGTTGAAGTCGTTCTTGACGTCGAGGGGAAGGTCGAAAAGGTTCCTGTCATTAGAACATCCTAAAATTAATTTAAATTAATGAGAAAGATCATGAGTATATAAGAAACACTGTTTTCGTTGGTATAAAACCTTTGGGAGAAAAAGTCACTAGAGCTCGTAGTCAAAGTAGACATGTTTCTATTGCTCAGACTTCCTAAATTCATCTTCTTTGGGAGGTAATATTTCAAAATTTCAATAAGAATTATATAATTGAGCACATATTGTCATTTTTAGGTTTTCCTTCTTCAACTTTCCCTCAAGGTTTTTAAAATGCGCCTGCTAATAGAGGTTTTCACATCCTATAAAGAATGGTTCGTTCTCCACCCCAACCGATGTGGGATCTCACAATTCACCCCCTTTGGGACTCAGCGTTCTCGCTGCCACTCGTTTCCTTCTCCAATCGATGTGGGACCCCCAATCCACCACCTTCAGGGCCCAACATCCTTGTTAGCACACTGCCCCGTGTCCACCCCTTTCGGAACTCAGCCTCCTCGTTGGCACATCGCCCGGTGCACACTGCCTCATGTCCACTCCCTTCCAATCTTCTCGCTGGCATATCGCCCGATTTCTAGCTCTGATATCATTCGTAGCAGCCCAAGCTCATCGCTAGCATATATTGTCCTCTTTAAGCATTCCTCTATGAGCTTCCTCCCAAAATTTTTAAAAACGGTCAGTTAGAGAGAGGTTTTCATATTTTATAAAGAATATTTCGTTCTCCACCCTCTAATCTTTTATTTATGCGTTAAAAACAAAAATTTGAATTATGTGTAGAATGAAAAAAATTAAGTACTTTATGAAATAATTTAGACAAATTTTATAAGACAACATTTGAAGTTAAAATAGCGATTTGCAAACCCTATAAATTATTAACTTAAAAAGTGATGCCAGTGGATAAGGGTTGACGTGTCATTATTTGGCATCAGCAAAACTCTATCGAGTCGAGGATCTATCGACGCTGTAATTATTTGGCATTATTTTGGTAATTTCTTACATCATGCATAACAGATTCATCCTTATTTCTCAACCCGTATTCTAGTCATGCATACTCTATTTCTAACTTTGCAAAATCCCAAAAATAGCATGCTTCTCGAAAATCTCAACCAAGGGTTTTAACAAGAATTTTTCATATCTTAGATATAGTACATACCCATCTGCATACACCCTTCTGAAATCCTTACCATGCATTTTCTAACAACCTAAGATAAGGAATGTTCACATGCTAGTACGTCCTAGCTATTTCTACAAGTATTACTTGCCTAAAGTCTATGTAGTTACTTACTTAGATCACACGTGCCTTTCCGAGCTCGCATCTATTTGTGTTAGCTAACTCCAAAATTTAAGAAATTTCTATGATAAGTTTGAATTAAAGCAAAATTAGGTTATTGAGTGAAAAAGCATTTGAACAGAGAGCAAAAAAAAAAAAGGTCACTCACGGACCTATAAGAGCTCACACATGTGCAAATGGGGCTTCTTACACGAATACCCATGAGCGCGTCTTGTCACAATTGCACTATTACGATAATAGGGTAACGATTATGCGACACTTGTTCTAACTCAGCGAACAAGTCAAATATATGAGATTCAGACTTCGCAAACAATATTGGCATATGCTTGAGCCTTAGGTCACGTTTGAGAGATGTTTTATAAAACGTCAGCAAGGAAATACGTTGCAAATAATTTTAAAGAAAACAATGTTGTAAGCTAAAAACGAGCAAGTAACAACAACTTTGATAACATAAAATCTAGGTAGAAAAATTGACAACTAGTCACATCCTCTGTAGTATATTTTGGGGCATTTTAACCTAGCGCGTATATACATGGTTTTAGTGATCGGTCATGCACCCCGTGTTGACACAACAAGAACTAGTAAAGGTCTGTCTAAAATGAAAGCAAGTAAAAACGGATTTGTATTTGTTTAATAATGAACTTGTTTCAATAGACAAGCGTCAGCATTTGTATCTTTTTTTTTTTTTTTTTTTTAATGAGTTGGTATGGATAAGATCGTGCCTTGTGTGCATAAGTTTTATGATGCCATAAGATCGTTGTGCATAGAGATGATTAGGAGATCTACAAATGTCTCTTAATCGTAAACTTGTTTAATAGAAGTAATGGTTCACACAAGTAAATATAATAGTTGGTAGAGACGACAGTCATTCCGTCCTACAATGAAGACGACATTATAATACATAATAGATAATATATATCTTCATTGACGATTACGGCATCATCAAACCTAATAGAACATCAAATAAATTTTAAGGAGAGAATAGTGCTATAAATATTTAGCATAAAATGTTCAACGAAAAGATAAGAAAGAGATATAAATATTTAGCATAAACATGTTCAGCATGCATAAACATTCTTTTCTTATTAATTAAGTTTCAACTTCTTAAGTTTTTGTGGATCGTTGTTCAACGATATAGAACTATCAGATTGGATCGAAGGCTTAGCAACCTCATTTTCAAAGTGTATTAAAATTTCATTCTTTCACCTTACGAGTTTTAAATTTGTAACGTGTTCAAAGTTATAAGTATATTTAAAAGCTTATTATACGGTCCAACGATAAATATTCATACATATCAACTTTGCCCATCAACTTATTTCCTATAAATGGACATACAAACTCCTTTGATATTTGCATTATCCAAACACTACCCTTCAGCAAATACATACACATCCATCAACTTCATCCAAAAATGAATTATTTTTGTCCGCATGGTGGGTTTCTCACCATTTCTCGTTTTAGTACTTCTATCCTATCCTCGAGATTCGTTTTGTGATGAAACTATACGATTTTTAGAATAGTTTCAATTAAGTTTTGAAAATCAAGTTGTTTATACGATCATTGATTTGTTTATTTGATTTGGTTTATCAGGAAAGAATAGGTGGCCCGAACTTGTTGGAGTAGAAGCAAAGATTGCAGAGAAAATCATCAAGAAAGAAAATCCCGCTGTAAGGATGGTTCAGATTTTCTTAGCGGGAAGTTCTGTGACGTACAATCTTAGCTACGGTCGAGTTCGATTGTTTGTTAATATAAATGGTGTAGTTGTTAGCATACCAGGGATTGGTTAAAAAAAAAATATATCCAAAAGATGTTGATGGATGCATATGTATTGTATCGTCTCTATCTTTTTTATTATAATAAAATTGCTACAACATGACTTAATTACGAAATGCGATTTTTTTTTTAAAACATATCAAGTCATTAACTTACATGTTTACAATAAAATTGGTAAAATAAAGTTGTTCAAGGTAAAGTTTTCACTAGAGAAAATTATTAACATATGTCTCGAGAACAAAAGAATCGCCGCCTTCTACTTCTAACTAAGAGAGCTAATTCATGTTCTCACAAAATAATTAATTTAAAATTTTATTAATTGAGAAAATTAATGTTACACCAGATGATTATATGCAACTTGATCTTAATTCCGAAGGAAATATGAATTTTTGTTGGTGGGGATTTATTCTTTGATTTACATGGATGAAAATGGATTTTATAACTAATTCAATAGGCCTACTATTTTGAATATTTTACCAAACACGGAGTTGGGAACATAATTTCACAAGATGGAATTCACTAACGTCGATTAGCCGTGAACGATCACTTGAAAAAGAAAAGTAGAATTTAGCGAGTATAAATATACTAATAAAGAATACATTTGTATGCTATCATTGCATTTGTGAGATCCCACATCAATTGAGGAAGAGAATGAAGCATTCTAGTCCGAAAAAGAAAAAATCCAAAGATGACAATATTTGCTAGTAGTGGGCTTTAGTCGTTACAAATGATATCAGAGCAAGACATCGAACAATGTGCCAGCGAAGAGGCTGAGTTATGAAGGGAGTGGGCATGAGGTGATGTGTCAACAAGGACACTGGGACCCAGAGGGGTAGGTTAGGGAGTCCCACATCAATTAGAGAAATGAATGAGTGCCAACGAGGATGCTAGGCACCGAAGAGGGTAGATTGGGGGTCCCACATCGATTAGAGAAGGGAACAGGACACTCCGCCAAACTCAAGAACACCCTGATCTTCAGGAATTGATTTAACAGACCCAAGTTCAACGACTCCCAACTTTACAGGTACAAAGACCAGCGTCTGCAAACCAGCCACTTTAGCTAAGAACCCTCTCGATTCGTAATTACGCATACAACTCGACGAATCCGAAGCCCATATAGTCTTACCAGCATTGTACGACGCCCCGAGACTGCTCCCGGAGTCGCACGTAAACTTGAAATACATCGAAGTCCGATAGAGCATATCGATATCCGACGCTTCCTCCTTCCTTGCTCCAAATCCATCTTCATCAGACCCTCCAAAAGAGGATTGAAGCATTTGAAGCACTTGCTTCTTCATTTCCTCATTCTTCTCTCCCTGAGTATCCCCACCAGAAATTTGAATACCAATCTTTGAATCATGACAAGCACCATCGCCCCAAATTAAAGCTAAACCCCCAGATTTCAAGGTAACCACACGCCAAAAGATTGCATAATTCCAATTTGAACCATCCAAAAGTTGGGTTAGCCCCTGATTCACACTCGAAAATTGGAAGGCCTCGGGTGGCATGATATTGCTAGATGCCAACGAGATCAAGAACTCGCAAGCTTCACTACCAAGAACTGATTCAACCAAAACCCTGTTTTCTTCGTTGGCCCAAAATTTCTCACCCATTTTCCAAATCAAATCACCAGAACGAAGAAACCCAACCTCCACTACTTCTAAAATCGCCTTCCCATAGTAAGCAAAGAAAATTCCAGTAGAACACAAACAATTAAACCCTATCAATGGCATGCCGGGAAATTAAATTCACAGATCTGCTGTAGAACACCCAACCCCAACTTTAGGGTGTGGTTCGCGCATATCTCGTGCATCCTGAGCATTTCAGTTCGACCCATTTGAACAAACCCGTATTGGGTCGGTTCTTACTTCTTGAATTTTTAATTTATTTCTAAAACTTTTAATTTTAATATTTTAAATAATTCTAACATGCAAATCTAAACCCAAAAAATGGAAACGAATAGATTTAAGAAGTATAATATGCCACTTTCATTTTAATGTCCATAATCTTCCTACTAAACGAGCAAACATAAATGATTATTTATAGTCTTCAAAATAAACTATGGTCAATTGTAATGTTGTAGCTCTCATGCCCATCAATCTATTAATGATCATTAACTAATGTAACATAAAATCTTAAAAATAATACTCAAAATTGAAAAATACAATCGTGAAATCTTTATAGCATAAGTAAGACACCTCTCCATTGGGATGAGGTTTTTTGGGGAAGCCCAAAACAAAGTCATGAGAACTTATGCTCAAAGTAAGCAATATCATACCATGGTGAAGAGTCGTGTTCATCTAACTTGGTATCAGAGCTATACCCTAAACATAGTCATGTCAATAGAATCCCCAAATGTCAAACAAAAGACTTCAAAAGAAAAAGGAGTCGAGACTCCTCGGAGGCATAGTAAAAAATGACTAAGACTTCAAAAGAAAAGAAGTCAAACCTCGATTAAGGGGAGGCGTACTTTGTTTGAGGGGAGGTGTTGGATGAAAGTCCCACATCAGCTAATTTAGGGAATGATCATGAGTTTATAACAAAGAATACTCTCTCCATTGGGAAAGGGCTCATCCCAGCCTTTTTGGGGAAGCTCAAAGCAAAGTCATCCCACAAATCAACGGTGAGATAACTTCGACAAAATTGATAAACTTAAAAAAATATCGATAAAACTTTTTTAAAAAGTTTCTTATCGGACGAACATACATATATTAGATTCAAATCTATTAGATAAGATCATTGATAATAAGGAATTAGATGCAATTGTCAGATTTTTAATGCTTTAAATTTTGAGCGGAACATATATATATTAGATTTAAATCTTTTAGATAAGATCATTGATGATAAGGAATTAGATGCAATAAAAACATTTACATCCAAGCTTCTAATCCTCAAAGAATTTATTGATGTGACGCTCAAAGAATTTATTGATGTGAGTCTAGTTGAACTATAATTGATATGTTTGAGATCAAAGTATTTAATTAAATGGCATCCAAAAGTGAAATTAAATAGCTTTCGACTATAAATCACATTACTTACAAAATTAAATAGCATTTGATTCTTCACAAATTTGGAAGTCAAACGTGTTAAGCTATTGTGCAGACCTTACTAAATCTGTAAATTTTAAAAGTAAAAACTTTAGAAGTATATGAATTCCACGTAAATTAGGGTTTATTTTATCGACATTTGTTCGTGTTCAAAATCAGTAAAAATATAATGCTAATTGTTTAAATAAGTTGTCCCGATGCATGTGACAAGCAAAATGCACGAGATCCCATAACATCAAAATATGACATATACTTACAATGTAAGTCATTCCACCATTTTTTTCCTGACATAGTGTTCCTATGAGATATATAAACGTATTACTTGTCAGATCTTTCACAGTTAACATACATGGCTTTCTAGCGTCTCATAGGCATATATCGGACGTATTAACATGGTTTACATTATACGTAGGAGTTCATTCATCATAACGTAAACATACCATAATATAACTGATAACATATGACATGTATAAGGGTTGTAGCATGTCATCCACATAGAAAACAGGTCATCCAACCAAGCCGACAACAAAGTTAATTACTTAGTGGACCTAAGCTGAAGTCACTAATTTATCTTTGTGTTAGTCTAGATCTATCCTTTGGAATCCAATTCGACAGAAAGTGGGTCCATGATATCATATCAGGCATAATAAACTATTCAACTAACCTAACGGTACCAGTTAAATATATTTTTTTGCTAAAAAAAACTTCAATTGATCAAACAACCGTTATATTAACCTCAAATACTTAATGTGATTAAGCCACCTAAAAGTAAAATGGTTAATATTCTGTTTTAAAAATATTTTTAAACTTTCCAAATAGTCAAAAATACATTTTTTTTTTTACTTTTAAAAGTATTTTTAAAAATAATCTTTTAAAAGTTTTATTAATATTTTAAATTTTTTTTAAAAACAATTTAAAATTTTTTAAAACAAGTTAAAAAATACTCTTAGAATAGTTAATACCACATTTAAAAAATAACTAGGAAGGTTTAAGTAATATTAATATTTTTAAAATTTTTAAAAAAATTAAAAAAGTTTAGAGTTATCTGTGAAGTATAGATATATGACTTCATTCGGTATATTGACGATAAAAACTTTTTTGAACTTTTTTTTATAAAAGTTAAGGGCTTTCATGTTACTTTTATAATTTTACAGATATTTTTAAATATTATTAATGGTAAATGTATTTTTTGAACTTTTTTTTATAAAAGTTATTAATGGTATTTTTGAAATAAAATACTAACAGTTTTGCGAGAGATTTTGAATATTTTTTTTATAAAATTTAAAGGTATTACTGAAACTGTATTTTTATTAATTTAGTCTCTTAATAATTTAGAAAAGTCGTCTCGCCAGAGTTGGTGGGGATGGATGGGGAGGAAGTAGTGAAGATAATACAGCAAGAGAAGGATCTTGATGCCATGAGGCCATAACTTTGCAACTCTTGATTATAGCGAGAATCGAGTCCGAGTCTTTGTTGACTATTATGGAAGGGTGAAGTCGAACCCTCGAATTGGTTAAGCACCCTCGACAATGTGTAACACCTTACGACTTGAATAAAATAAATTAAGGTGTGTTTTTCTAAGTCTATCTTTTTTTAATAGATACACTCGAGGAAAGAAAAAAAAATCCAAGAAAAACAGAAAATGAGAAGAGATATAAAGAATGAGTTTGAAAAGCTATGAAAAATTTATACATCGAGAATAGTACTCATTTGATGTTTGAACATCATCATTCCATTTAAATCAAATAAAATTTTGTACTAAAAAATATTTATGGATTGTTCTTAACAAGATTGTTATAGCTATATCTCGTAGGAGCAACAACACAAATTGAAAAAGCCCTTTGCCAACGTAAGAAGAGCAAGTAGCAACATGCGGGTTTTTAGATACTCAAGAATTTATAATCATACGACAAAGTTATTCATTTTTCAAAATACGAAACGTGTTCAAAAATTTCAAGTTATACTATCAAATATTATTATATAAATATGTCATGACCCGAACTCCTCTCCTTGATGGAGGAACTTAGCCAGGTTATTGTGCGGCTATTCTATAGTTACGGTAGTCCTTTTTGATACTTTTAAGGAACATTCTACTAAACCTACTTTCTCGAATTTGTTTTATAAAGAGTAAAAAAAGTATAATATGCAACTTTTATTTAATATCTAAAATCTTCGTACTAAATCAACAAACATGAATGATTATTTATAGCTTTGAAAATGAACTATGGTCAATTGAAAGGTTAAAGAATGTTAGAATGTAACACCCGAGCCCCGACGAGAAACTTAAACCCTAATTTTTTCCCCTTTAAGTTGAACTTTCGAGATTTTATTGAGGATTTTAGAGATTGAATTTTAAGATGAGGTAGAAGAGAAAAAAATGCTTAGAAATATCTCAGGAAGAAAAGAAAAAGAATAGAGAGAGAGAAAGAAGGTTCTAGACAGAAGGGGAAGTAGCAGCGAGTAGTCCATTGAAAAGAGAAGGGGAAGTAGTAGCCACTTCTGATCCGGCCACAAGAAGTGTGATTTGGTTGAAAAGAAAAAGAAAAGAGAGAGAGAAAGAAGGTTCTAAAGAGAAGGGGAAGTAGCAGCGAGGAGTCCGATTCCGGCTGAAAAGAGAAGGGGAAGTAGCATAAAAAGAAGAGAGAGAGAGAAGGAAGGTTCTAGAGAGAAGGGGAAGTAGCAGCGAGCAGTGGAAAGTAGCAGCCACTTCTGATCCGGCCACGAGGAGTGTGACTCACAAGTCATTTTAGACCCTTGAATCGTCCAAAACCGTCCAAAGAAGGCAAGAAAATTCAAAAAATCGTCCAAAGAAGGCAAGAAAAGACAAGAAAATTCATTAGCACGACTAAGTTTAGGACATGGCTCTGAAACGATGTTAGAATGAACACGAATCTCTACAATGGTATGATATTGTCTACTTTGAACATAAGCTCTCATGACTTTGCGTTGAGCTTCCCCAAAAGGGCCTCATACCAATGGAGAGAGTATTATTTGATTACAAACACATATCATTTCCTAAATTAGCAGATGTGAGACTTTCATCATCCAACAAAGAATACAATAAAACGGCCCATATGATACAATCTTGTCGTTCACCATGAAATATTTTCATGGCATGATTAAGACACCTTATTCTATATACTTCTTTCAATTTATTGTATCATACGGGTTGTAATTCTAGTTCAATTTTCATTAATTCAGTCCATTATTAAAAAAACAATATATAAATATCATTAATTTAAAAAATAAAGCAATAAAGTAAGTTTAACAAACGCACATATTAATCTCAGATAACTTTTGACAAAAGTGATAAACTAAAAAAAAAAAAAAAAAATTCATATCAATTTTCGAGATTTTAAATTTCGGGCTGTACTGAAAAAGACAAGGACGAACACATATATTAGATTCAATTATCTATTAACTTTGATTTAGATAGGAGCATGGATAACAAGGAATGAGATGCAATTAGGTTATAAAAATATTTACATGTAACAATCCAATCGATGATGTGAGTATAGTTTAACGATAATGTTAGGATCACACAACAACGCACACACTCGATTTAGATGAACACAAAAAACAGGATTGAGAAAATGCAAGGAAAATATTGGCTAAAGGTTTTGTATTGATGACTACAAGTAGTACGAAAGAATACAAAGAATATAGAAAGTACGTTCTTAGAGCTT